ATGAAACACCCAGTAGCTAATAGGACCCATTCTATTTAGAAGCCAGATTAGTAACCGACTACAATAATCAGAGAATGTCCTTTGGACTCCTTTTGTATTTGAAGAGATGATAGTGAGAATTTTACAAAACTGATGGAAGATACTAAGATTTTTAGTTGTTCCTCAGTGGGAAGATTGATCTGCAGTTACATAGTTTACCATTATAGGAAGCAGAAGTATCTCCCTTACTATTCATAGACAGTTACTTGAAAAATCTAAGAGTTAATACAGAAGCATACCTATTTCACAATTTTCTATATTGTTTTAAACTGTGGAACAGTTCTGTAACCTCAAGAGAGTATGGTACTGACTATGTGAAGATCGAGGTTGGGTGTTTCCTTAGTGATGGAATAGGAGAGTGAATTTTGGTTGAAAATGTATCTTTCTTTTTACTACAAAAATATACCATAATAATGCTAATGAAGACTTCTTATAAATAAGAAAGTTGCAGATACCATATGAAATAAGCTTCCTTTGGTATCAACTCTTTCTGTTTTTTGTTTTTTGTTTTCTTTTTGAGATGGAGTCACACTTTATTGCCTAGGCTATAGTGCAGTGGCTCGATCTCAGCTCACTTCAACCTTCACTTCCCAGGTTGAAGCCATTCTCCTGCCTCAGCCGTCCAAGTATCTGGGACTACAGGTGCACATCACCACGCCTGGCTAATTTTTGTATTTTTAGTAGAGACAGGTTTTACCAGGTTTGCCAGGTTGGTCTCAAATCCTGGCTTCAAGTGATCCACCCGCCTCAGCCTTCCAAAGTGCTGGGATTACAGGCATGAGCCACTGTGCCTGGCCTGGTATCAACTCTTTACAAGACATTAACAAATCTGATTCTTTCACTGTAATTATTTTGTTACTGAAGTAGATATAAACCTGAAGACCTAGATCAAACAAAATCATGCTTTTTTGTTTTGTTTTGTCTTTTTTAAGACAGGGTCTCACTCTGTCGCCCAGGCTAGAGTGCAGTGTCGCAATCTCGGCTCACTGCAACCTCGGCACCCCCCGCTCCCTAGCTCAAGCAGTTCTCCCACCCCAGCCTCCTGAACAGCTAGGACTACAGGAGGGCACTACCATGCTTGTCTAATTTTTTAAGGTTATTGTAGAGACAAAATCGCTCAATGTTGTCCAGCCTGGTCTCAAACTCCTGGGTTCAAGCAATCTCTCCACCTTAGTTTCCCAAAGTGGATTACAGACAGGAGCTCATATGTGGGATTATGTATATGAGTCACCACACCTAGCCATTTCTTTTTTTCAATAAGAAGGATTTTCAATACCTAGCTGATCTCTATCCTCCTTTAATAGGAATCTGTTTTGTGGACAGTTACAGGTAGGTCTTATATTCATGATATGTGTATCCCTGGAACCTGTTGAAATTGAAGAGGGTTAGAAGAAGTTCTGTTATTATTAGTGGGAGTATCATGTGCAATTTTTTAAACCAAATAGTAATTCCATAGACTTGGTAAGTTTCAAAAACTATTTGCTCTGTTATATAGCCCAATGAAATGCTGAGCATAAATATATTTTGTTGAACAGTTATGAAATTGGTGTGAGATTTTGTACTTGAATATATCTTAACAGGAAACATGTTAGATATCTGTTAAGCCCAAACAAAGCTGTACTTTTATCCTTGGCATTTTGTATATCAGGTTGTTTTGTGGTGCTTCATTAAAAGCTGTAAGTACAAACTGCCAATTTCATAATTGGTCATGAATCTCTTGAAAGTTTTTGTAGCTGCATAGGCAGAAAAGGCCTAGAGAGAAAAAAATTATATATCTTTTAAGTTACATCATCTTATTTATTTTATTTTTATTTTTTTGAGACAGAGTCTCACTTTGTCACTTAGGCTGGAGTGCAGTGGCATGATCTCGGCCCACTGCAACCTCTGCCTCTTGGGTTCAAGCAATTCTCCTGTCTCTACCTTCTGGGTAGCTGGGACTACAGGTGCGTGCCACCACAGCCAGCTAATTTTACTATTTTTGCTAGAGACGGGGTTTCATCATTTTGGTCAGGATGGTCTCGAATTCCTGACCTCAGGTGATACACGTGCCTCAGCCTCCCAAAGTGCTGGGATTATAGGTGTGAGCCACTGCACCTGGCCCCCGTCATATTATTTTATAAAGGAATGGTGGAAAATGAAATATTGTGCTACAACTGAGGTGTGGCACAGAAAACTAGGGCAACACTTACTTTTAGAAATATCAAGTGTTATTCACTGTTTTAGAATTAATTACATAATTATCTACCAGAACACAAAGATCCCAGGGTACGTTAATGGAAACACTACATTTCCAAATAAAATAATAATAATTATCACCTACGGTATTCAGAGTGCTTTATTAGCTATAATTTTTAACTCCCCACCTCTCTGTGTGTAAATAAACATCACTAAGAATATTAAACTTTTCAATAGTTTAGAAATAATAAAACTAAGGCAGAGAAATTGATGTGAATGATAAATTAGGCATTATGGCTTGAATCATTTAAAGAGGCAGGTATTCAATAGGAACAATAGATGCTAACGAAGTACAAAAATCATTCTTGGAACTATTCTTAAATTACTAGTTGGTAATTAATTAAATGTATTACCTTTCTTCCAAAATGAGTGATCGAATTAATTTAAATTTTGTAAACAATGTCACAATGGCAGCATTGAGACTATTGGAAATTCCTAAGAGTGACGGAACTTACTTTAGAATCACCATCCCAGGCACGTGGTAGTCACACGAAGTTGTATGTCATTAAAACCATTGGATTGGGAGACTGAAGAGACGTAATAAATTGAATGTCACAAGAGTTCGATTGGGGGATAAATCTAGGTTTACACGCCACATCTTACCAACAGAACGATGCTTTTTTTCCATGGAACAGTAGCAGTTTGTTACTGTTTCCAGTGAAACACTTGCAGTCTGTTAAGATGGCCATGAAAGTGTTAGGTAGAAACTGTGGGCCTCCAGGACACTTGATGCCCCTTTATAGGACTGTAATCACTAAGGTGAAACTGCCATTGGAACAGACTGTCATAGAGCCAAGAAAAACTAAAGCCATCCCTAAAACACTGCAGCAAAAAGTCAAGGTGAAATGTGATGGGTCAGGCACAAGTCATAAGCCTACAAAGTAGAGGGATGTTCTGTGATATAGTGTTTCAGAACTGCAGACTCATTAGAGAGAGAAAAAAATGTGTGATTAATGCCCATTTGGGAAGAATCTGAGGCAGAAGGAAGCCAGCCAACTAAACTTCATTTGGGGAGATAAGTAAGACAAATCGTGACCTTGCAAAGATCTGAAACAGCTCTGCTACAGGGCCATTTGAACAAAAGAGTGAACACATTCTAGCCTGACTCTGCCTTGCTACTCTGAAATGGTTGCAGTGGAGAGAGAAAAGTGCTTGGAGATTTCATCATAGAAAGATCATTGGTGAATGGACAGCCTACGGACCAAACATTTAGGTTAGGTACGCATTTCTTATGCTATCGAATTTATTTTTCTATGGCGAGAATCTCTTTGTCTGTTGGCACCCATTGCCTAAGATAATTGATGCACAATACCTACGCAGGTTCTGATTCATTTGGACAGTAGGGTATAGTGGGAATAAAATGTACCTTCTCAGTACAATTTGCTCCCAAAGATCCAAAAATGATTTGCCCCAAAAATCATTCACTGCTGGATGATGATGATGATGATTTATCTTCCTGATAGACAATTGTAAGAAATTTCCATACTATCTTACTTACCCCTCTAGTTGAGGACTAGGGATTTGTTGAAACTATAGAAACTGCTTGCTCATTATTCACCTGTCCTTGAGAATTGAACCTTGAGCTTAAATTTAACTTCTGTTCAACTGATAAGAATTTTTGACAGTACAGTGCTCAAGGAATTACTGATTCTTATATCTAAGAATGAAAGAAACAAAAAGACATGCTGTAAGAGTTTCAAACTTCACATTAGATACACTGTCAAACCATAACATCTAATTCTAAAATGATCATTAACAGGAACATGGTTTAGAAAAACTTCTAAATTTTTACTAAAATAAAAGTAAATATTTAGACTTAGTTATATCTAATCTCTACATAAGATCAAAGTTGTTATGTCACTCATCTAAGTTTTAAACTGGTGAAAGTGCACTTAAAATATATGTGAAAGCTCTTTGATTTTGCATTTCTAAGGGTGGAGAGAAGCCATAGCATTTTATAAATAGTGTGATATTGAGAAGACCTTTGTAACTTTATTTAATGTTTGTTACTTATGAGTGCTTTTAAAGCTACATATATATGTCGCACAGCATATTGTGCACTTCTAAGGAAAATTCAAACTAAAAAAGTTGTGGCCAGTTAATCTTTCCAGTGAGCTGAAAAAACAAATGCTCTTCCTTTGCTGCCCTAAAACCCTCCAGATCTTTTATGGACAGCATGCCATTCTTCTCTTTTGCCTTTCCTATTGTAGTTTAGGTACCCTCCTTTTCCAGCTGCATGGTAAATGGATTCTTGCTCTTTTCTTCCTCCTCCCAACTTTTTTTCCTCTCTGAATACATTTCACAGACGACCATCTTCCAAAATAACGGCATCAATTAATTTTTTAACTAAAAAAAAAAATCTTTAGCCCTGAGTCTGCCCTCTCCATTGACGTGTAGTGTGTGTGGAAGAGGCTGTGCAGGGACTGATAAGCACCCATTTGTGAAGGTGCTTCAGTAGGAAGCAAGGCCTTTGAGGCACTCACAAATGCTATTTATTCAGCCAGCCCCAGTTTCAGGTGAGTTGATGAGTTGACCCACGCATCTCACAGGGCTCTAAAACTGAGCCACAAGACAGCCGCTGAGGGATGGGAAGCAGCTGTTCTTCTGTGCCCGAGACTGGAAATCGGTCCTTGTTTTTTATTTTGAATAGATAACAGTTTGTTCCTTGACGTTTTCTCTCAGTTAACTATTAGGATTTCTCACTACACTTCTGTCCCTTTTTGCAGAACCCGATGACCTCCGAGGGGACCCTGCACTCAGCCATCAAAGTGCTCCTGCCCACCTGGATGCTCATAATTCAATGGTAGATGCAGGTGGAGTTGAGAACATCACCCATCTTCCCCAGGAGCTTCCTCAGATGATGGCTGCAGGTAAATGCCAGTGGCCAGCAAAGGAAGCAAACAAGGCTTTCTTGAGTTCTTCGTGGAAAAGCTTGCCCTGCCTTGAAAAACTTGCATTGAACCAGGAGCCTGGACCCTTAAAGAAATCAGGCTGTAGAACTAGTGAAAATGAAAGAGTCAAATTTGACACATTCTCTGTTTTGTTTTGGGTTCTTTAAGCTTTATGCTACTTGTTTTTTAAATTTTATTTATTTATTTAGAAATACTTCGGAAAAGTCACTTTAGGTAGACACTTGCATTTTCTTAATGTAATAATGTAAAGGTTTATAAATGAAGGAATATGTTATGAGGTAACAATAAATTCAGTCAGGACCAGTTTCACTGCTTATTTTCTTATTAGAAGGCCTTTCTGCTCAAGAATTACACCTGGAAACAGTAAGCAAGTTAACATGTTTTACCAAGAGAGTTTACTGTTTTGCAGCTCAGCCTTATGACTTAACTAATGTTGTTTCACTGGGAGAAGGAAACAATTCTTTAATTTTTTCCAGGGGTACCTCCTTAATAGCATACTGTGTATAATATAAACTACATGTCATTAAGTTTTCTCCCAGAAACTATTTGGAAACGCTTTATGTTTTAAGTCTGGAGAAAAAATTGCTGTAGATTATAGTTCTTTATTTTTTTGTAGATTGGGAATGTGCTAAATGAAGCCTCACATCTCTAGAAATGTGATTTTCTTTCAAACAAACGCCCTTGCCTATGGGCTCTAAATCATGGTTTGTTTCTTCCCACAGCAGCTGATGGTTTGGGGAGTATAGCGATAGACACGACCCAGCTCAACATGTCCGTGACAGATCCGACAGCCTGGGCTACAGCCATGAATAACCTGGGCATGGTTCCCGTGGGGTTGCCTGGACAGCAGCTCGTGTCTGGTAAGCGTTCTCCTGGTGTCAGAGATACTTGCAGCAGTGCCAAAGGGTGTAGGGGACAGGTGTCTGGTAATCTCTCCACACCGCGAGTGTTGAACATGCTCTTTGATTTATGACTAGGGCATGTTTGGCAAGTTGTGCTTGAGATTCTTTTCCTCATCACCTTTCTTTTCTGCTTAATAGCTGTTCTCAGAAAAAGCCACGCTAACTGTTGTTGCTATACACGGTCTTGTAACATCGATTGCATTTTTTAAATTGGTAAATGGAATGGCTAATATTTGCTTTCCAATTTGCAAAACTCATTCACCTACATTATCCCATTTGATTGCCTGTCTTCCCTTTATGATAGGTAGATATTTATTTTTGTTCTTGCTCTTGTTAATGTTTCCATTTTACAAATAGAGAAACAGAAGAGCAGAGTTTAGGTGACTTTTCAGTAAACTCAGCTCAGGTGACACTAAATTCCATTTTCTGTCCACCACATGGTGGAATCGTAATACAATACATGCATTCGGTAGAGAAAATGTTTAGAAATATCACGAAGTCAGAAGTTACCTAAAAGATTTAATCATTGAATTTAACAGGTGTTTGCTGAGGGTTTTACATATGCCCTGTAAAAAGTGCTTTGAGAAATAGAATAAGTATCACATGTATATAAGTGTCTTTGAAGAGTCTTTCTCTCTAAATTGAAACAAAATAAAACACCAACAACTGAAAAACAATAATAAAAATGATGCATAGAATCAGGTGTGTTAAGTGGCGTGCAGACTGGTAATGTGATAATGAGATCAGTCACTGGGGCTCTGAGGAACAATGTTATCAGGAAGGCAGGGCTTGAGCGAAATCTGTAGAGATGAGGAGCATTTATATATTCACTCACTCATTCATTCATTCAACAAATATTCATTGAGCCACTGTCCTGGTGCAAGGGCTCCAGCAGTAAACAAGACAAGCATGGTCTGTCCTCTGAGAATTTATAGTGGAGAGGTGACAATCAGGTATTATGCAGTAGTCATTGTTATAATGGCACAAGAAAAATTCACCTTTGGCCATCAACGTAGGTGAGGGTAGTTGGTGCCCATTAAGTAGAAACCAATCACTTTTGGAATGTTACTAATTTCTACTCCCACATACCTGTGCACTTTCTGCTGTGTTGACCAAGCATTTGTTTTTTTTTGTTTTTCTTTTTGGTCAATTAGTGGCCATAGATGAAAATTCCAAATTAATTTTAGTAAATAATATATGTGTGTGTATGTGTATATCTGTATATGTGTGTACAGATATACACATACACACACATATATAATATATATGGTTTCTTTTATTAGAAGATCATGGATTAGAAAATGGATTAGAGACCAGGGAAAGTGGGAGACAAAGGAAATACAAAGGCTGAGTTTTAAAACATTGTATTTAGAATATCAGATTCTTCAAAATGCTATCAAATTCATACAATTGAAGATTAGTCTGCTTCAGGGAGGAGGGTGTACATAAATGACATTTTCTATGGTTGGAACATGTGTTTATCCAGGCCCCTTTTCCCTAAAGCTTACCTAGACAGATACTTTCTTCTAACTGGAGAGTAAAGATTTCTGTTATTTCACCAAGTTTCCCCAGCTGCCTAACTAAAATATCCAGAGAGCAAAAGTTACCTTACTCGCCTCACCTCCTGCTTCTCAGAAAATGTGCAATTCTAGAGTAAGCCAAAACCTTAATAATTCATTATTTTTTCTTGTGATTTTTGAGACCTCTGACATTTTAACTGTGACCAATTTATGATTTTCCCAGCAACTTGCCATGAAAAGAATTACAGCCCTACTTGTTACACAAGATTTGCCGTATCTGCTCCAAATTGTTTTTTCTATCTCCTGTATTAGCCAATTGCTTGAACTGTTTTTGAGCCTTTCAGGGTCTTTCAGGGCTTGCCTTCATCATTTACACAGCCTGATAATTTAACTGCACTTTGCTTTGTTCTCAGGGCTGCCAGCCAACTACATTTCTTGACCCAATCTCAGAGTCAGTTTCTGTTGTGTTTGATTAGTGTTTATGTATTTTATTCCAGTCTTTTTTCTGTGTATTTCAATCATATTGAATATAACATTTTCTATTATGCGTTTTTAACTTCTTATCCTAAACTATTTTTCCATTGTATTCTTTTATATTAAAAATTTAAAAACAATCCATCAAAGAAGTCTTCCCAGATTACCTAACAATTCTATTTACATTTAGCCTGTATTCATTTTTTCACTGGTACTAGCCAAGTTTCTTTAAAGAACTTAGCCTCTCTGAGCATGCAAAAACATTTTGCCTTTTCTATAAAATGGGGATCATATCTATTTCATGGAACTGTTGTAAGATTTAAATGGGATAATTTATATAACCGCCATATGGTAAGCATACATTAAAAATTCTTCTTACTCCTTTGTTCTTATTCCTTCCTTCCTCCTTTTTCCTTTTTTAAAGCAAAGAATACATTTTTGCTTTAAAACATTTCAATGAACATTTTTATGCATGGGACTTTTAGCTGTTAGAATTATTTCCACTGGATAGACTCGTACATGTGGAACTAGTAGGCCAAAAGAAATGAGCATTTTCAAGTTTCTTGTTAAGTACTGGTCAATTAATTCCCAAAATATACATATGGATTTCACATTTACTAATTTGATATGCAAAAATGGCATCCTATTATTTTATTTAAAATTATTTTATAACTACCCTTGTTTATTTTTTTACCCTTTATTTTCTATTCATATGTTATCTTTTATAAGTAATTCTCACACTGTATCCATTTATCAGATAGGGTTCTTGATAATTTTTGGGGGGGTTTATATTTGGGCATTTGTTAAACATTTTAATACTCAGACTTCATATTTCCTAAAAATATCTTGTCCATGTTTTGACTCCTAATGTTGGTTCTTTTTTATGGTTTTTATATTTAATTTTTCATTTATGAGTTTTTTATTCCATTTCTAAATACAAAAGGTTAGCCCACTCTGGAAGTTGTTGTATTCCCTATTTACCATGCCCCCATTGACTTAATTCTGCCTTTTTTTGGAAATTAAGTTCTTAAGCATATTTGCCTGTTTCTGAAGTATCTATTCTGTACTACTGATTTATCAGTAGTTTTATTCCAAGACCACATTGTTTCAGTTCTTATAGTTCTATGGTATGTTTACATAACGTAAATGCCCTTTTTACTGTACCTGGTGTGCAGCACTATTGTTTCTTTTCCACGTAGCAACAGAGCCTGGGATGCCACTGCTTGCTCAGTTGCCATGCTGACCACCTCTGGAGTTCTTCCCTGTGAATGCAGAATGTTAGAGGTAGCATTTAATGTTTCAGAAGGGACTTAAAGATTATTTAGTGTAACCTTCCTTCTAAGGAATCCTCTTTAAAACATTTCTGACAGGATTATGGAGAGGCTGGATTTTATGAGTACTTGGCTTTCTCCCAAAGTTTCTGATATTTCTAAATGGCCAACCACTCTTCCCATATTTGTTAAAATTAAACTGACACTAAATCCCTTTCCTCACTGCTTTTTCAATTTATTGAGAGATTAAAATTATCAGCAAAGGAAGGCGTAAAATTTTTATATCCTCTGATTTTATCAAAAGAATTTCCTAGGAAATCAAATCTCTCATTACTGTCATAGCATACCTTTCAGACATGCTGTGCTGTGGTATACTTCCACAGTGACGCCTCTTCCATTTCCCTCCCCTTTCATCATCATCATGATTCTGCTCCCACCTTTATGAACTTCGCTGTTTACCTTCTTCATAGGAAGTGCAGCTCAAGATCATTACATTGAATTTGTTCCTTATATTCAAAATATACCATTATACTCTTATACCCCAATCCTAAATCCCGTACTCCAAAGTCCTGGCTGCTCTGTGAGATGATATTTGCCTCCATTATTGTTTCCTGTTTGTTTTATTCCCCATACTTTGTTTTTGTTTTGTGAAGTTTTTTTGTTGCCGTTGATTTGTTTTTGTTGTCCGTACTTTGTGCATTGGTGTAGATCTAGGTTTTTAAAACTGGTCTCTTGGAACATTTGTGTTCCGCTGTTGTTGTTAGGTAGGTTGGGTGGCACATAAATATATATACCTAGGTGGCCTAACAATGGTGGCAAACTCTGGGTTAAACACAGGTAAATTGCTTTCTTTGGGGTTTTTCCAAAGCCTTTACTGTGCTAATAATGTACAGTAAGTAGTTCTGAAAGACTGGGACCTACTATGTAGAATTCCCGAACTTAATTTAGCCTTTAAAAAACACTTGCATTAGGACAAATACCTAATGCATGTGGGGCTTAAAACCCAGATGACAGGTTGATAGGTACAGCAAACCACCATGGCGCATGTATACCTATGTAACAAACCTGCTCATTCTGCACATGTATCCCGAAACCTAAAGTAAAATTTAAAAATAAATTAATTAAAAAACCTGTAAGCCTCTCATGAGATGCTAGAATATTCACTGTGGAGATCCTTCTCCACTACCATCCATCCTTCTATGCCTCATATGATAACCTCTGCATGATCTAGTGTACAATTTTGTTTGTTTATGTTTGTGCTGAACAGTGTCACTCCCTAATCTCAAATTTCAAAACAACTCTCTTCTGGTCAGGTGTTACCTGAAACCTTCTTCTCAGTTTTCTGTGGCACATGTTGTCCCTTTCCAGGAGGCCCCACCTCTGGTGTCACAAGCTGAAATCTAGAATATCAGATCCCAAGCTGGCACCTCTTGTGTGACCAGCTGCTCTCTTCCTGTATACCCTAATTTCTTTTCCAAAGTTATAATTATCAACTGGAAGCAGAGCTGAAAAGCAGGAGCTGAGTACCCAGGTTTTAAATTTTTTGCCCAGGCCTGCTTAGGAACTAGTAGTGCTTTCTGGATATTCTCTGGCCATGATATAACTAACACCTTGCTTTTCTCTAAATTTTTTGAAATCTCCTTTCCTAATGTCAGTGATCTTCCTTTAGCCATTATTACCTCTGGGGTGATGT